CAGTCTTTTCCCACAGCTTGGGTCACATTCCCAAGTGTCATTCTTATGGACCAGCTTGGGTGTCCCATGACCACCTTTGAGCCACAGCCCATGACATCAGTGCTTTGATTGGCCAGGCCTGGGGCACATGCTCCATCCCTGGAGGAAGCAGACACGGATTTTACAATGAAGCTGAGAGAGAAGAGGCGCTGAGGTGTTGTAATGCACCCCGCGGATCACAGAAGGACGCCTCAATCCGGGACTGAGGGAGCCGTGCTCTCCACATCTCGCAGTGCCCTCCCCATGCCCGCCACCAGATTTATAGGCAAAGATCACAAAGGTATTGATTACATCCCAGGGTTTGGAATGAGGAACCTGGTTCGCAAAAAAAGCAGTTTACAGAAGCAGAGTTAAACATGTTAGTTATAGTTTTGGGTCTCCGGATCACTGAGTTGACAGGAACACATTATCTAGAGCCCTCGGGTCTTGAGACCACTGAGTTACCAGGAATAAATTATCTAGAGCCATCGAGGCAATTTAGAGTAATTGCGCTGTCCTGGTTTTTGGGACCACAGAGTTGACAGGGAAACATTATCTGGAACCCTCAGGTCTTGGGATAATTGTGCTGTCCTGGTTCCCAGGTACAGAGGAATTCGCTTCCTAAAACCAGTGAGATCACAATCGATGGGATGTTCACATGACAATCAATAAGGCATTCAATCGAATGGGATGATTTACACAATTCAGCAAATCAAAGTAACTTTTCTATTGTTAAACAAAGTAAGTAAGTACAGAAGCCAAACAGCAGGGTTAAAGTTAAACTAGAGTTTCTACCTGAGATGATTGCTACCATACTTCAGGGGGAGGCACGCGGTGACCGCAGGACTGGAACCGAGATGTTTACTGTGGGACGTCGATGAGGAGCTGCTGGGCGCTGTGCAGAGCACCTCCAACCCCCAGGCAGCAGGGTCATGGCTGCTTCCCCAGCACCTACTCTGCTAGGGCCTGTGCGAGGAGCCCAGGGTTCAGGAACCCGGGGCTGCAATCCCCGCAGCAAGGAGCTCATAGAGCAGGGGCGGCGGGCACAGGAACGCCAGGCCTCCGGGAGCCGGGCTGTGTGCCGCCGCCCCAGGCTCTGTGTGTAGCAGACGCAGTCACCCTACAAGTCTGTGGGCAGGTTAACCCAATCTCTGTTCACGGATGAGGGGGCCGAGCCACGGAAGGCCTATGTGTCCGGCCCTTCGTCGCAGGCCTGGCAAGCCACAGGCCCGGCGTCTGACCCCAGCACCTTCACTGTGAGCTGCCAATTGCCCTGCCTGCCCTGCTCCCAACAAAAGCAAATAAAGTGTCAGTCCGTCCACCTGGGGGAAGAGAAGAGATGAAGCTGAAACCGGAAAAGTAGGCGTTCACGCTGCCCGTCGCTACCAGAGCCCATAAGCAGACAAGGATGGGATCACGGTGGGCACCTCACTCAGGGCCGGCGAGCTGAGGCGGCAGGTAACGTGCCCTGAAGAGGCCCCTTACATCTCGCCCCAAGCCCACCCTTGTATACGGAGAAGAGAAGTGAGGTCAGGGGCCTGGGATTCAGGAGGAAGCAGCCAGTCAGACAGAAGCCGCGGGGCTGCGACTTCCTGAGCCTCCGGCTCCCTCCCTGAAGCACAGGCTGCTGCCAGCTGGGTCCCTGTCCGTCTGTCCTCCCAGGGCAGGAGGTCGGAGTGCGGGCGGGGCCCCTGGTCAGGGCGGGTCTGGTCACACATTCCAGCCCCCGGGACAACAGCTTTCTACACCCAGCAGTTACCAAGCCTGTTAACTGGACATCTGAAGCTAAAAATGTTTACCTTCTTGCGTCCCCGTCATTATTTCCAGGTGGGGCTCTGCGGGGGGTTGGGGCAGGGGCGGGATGGGTGTCTCCTGCCAGGAGGGAAGATCAGCAGGGCTGCAGGATTGAGCAAACAGACACGGCAAGGAGGGGCCGCAGGGGCAGAAGAAAACACGTGAGCCCCGGCGAATGGCATGTGCAGCTGAGATCCTGTTTCCATTGTCCACAGGATTGGGCTCAGGCTCCTCTGCTAGACCGACAAGGCCCTGTAGGTCTCAGGTTACCTCTTTCCGCTGCCCCCACCCCCACCTCACTTCCCCCTGTCAATCCAGCCAGACAAGCCCTCTTTTGTTAGCAGAACTTTGATCTGTTCTTTCTCCACGCCTTACTTCTCGCCTCTTCACTGGTTAATTGTTTAGGTCTTTCAAGGTAAGAAAGGCCAACCTGCAGAGAATTCTTGTCAGTTTTCTGGGGCCAAAACTGACGACCTACGCGGGGAGCAAGATCTCAAAAGATCTTGAAGCGAAGGGAACTTAAGGAAGATGAGGGAGGTGGGAGGAAGCAAGGTGGGGGTTGGACTGCAGGGCAGTAAACAAGATCATGCCTTTCTAGAAGGCGGTTTTGCTTACGTCAAACGTATGTTCCCTGAGACACAGAAAAACAGACGGGGCCTGCTTAAGGCAAAGAAAAACCTTGTACTGAAAATGTCAGGTGCCTGGGGCGTGACCACCCAAGACCTGCCCAGCTAGGAATCTGCAATAAGATCACCCTGTGAAGTTTCTTTCCGTAAAACCCCTTTGGCCCACAGGTCTCAGCTGGGCTCCTGACACACCACACCCTGCTGCAGCCTGGGTATTGTTTACAGAACAAGTCGCAGGCCTGGCTGGTAGCTCAGGTTAGAGCATCGCCCCAGCACGCCGGGCTGGAACCCGGTCAGGGCACATCCAGGAGCCGACCAAGGATGCACCAACAAGCAGAATAACTGCTGTTCCCCTCTCTGCCTCTGTCTCTCTCTGTCTCTGTCTGTTTCTGTCTGTCTCTCTGTTTCTGTCTCTGTCTGTCTCTCTCTGTTTCTGTCTCTGTCTGTCTGTGGATGGAGAGGAGAGGTCTCCATGGGCAAGAACCTGAAGGGAGAAGGGACCATGAGAATGCACCTCCTGAGACATCACTGCCCTCGTGGCCAGGGCCCTGGATGGAGGGTGCGACTTATTTAAGTCTCTCCAGAGGGCGTGGCTTCACCAGACACCTGGACTGTTCCCCTGGGAGGCACAGATCTCCCAAAGGCAGGGGACACATCTTGCTGGTCTCCGCTGTATCTCTAATTCCTAACACACTCCCGGCACACAGAAGGCATTTTGCATTCACCGGATGCATGGATGAATGCTCGGAACAAGTAAAATCCGGCCCCGTCACCTCCAAATGCGGCTCCTGCTCTTGTCCATCACACACGGGCCTCCTCTATGTCCCTCCACACACTGTGCACACTCACCCCAGGGCCTCAGCGCTTTCCCTTCCTTCGGTCACATGTACTCCGCCACCTCTCTGCCTAGCCACCTCCCCTCACCCCA